TAGTACTTGCACCATTATTAAGTCTAGATTAACTTGGTACACTTGTTTTTTCAATTTGCCCCGCAATTTTGTGGAAAATGGCTCTTTGTATAGCTTGATACGCATGGCTTATACATACTTAATTTAAAAGAAGATAATCAACTGACATTATTAATCTTTTGCCATCTTAATGCTCAACTAAATGACATTATCCATAACAACAACCACTGGTCACACCATAGATTTGCAAATTAAAAATTCAAAAACCACGTCATAATAAAGTATTCAATCATAAATAGACTCTATAGAGTATATTCACCTGGGCTATTATTTTCTATCAAGACAAAAAGAAAGAGACCTAATTAACTACAGATGTTAGGAATTGCCAATTGCCACTACTTTTTAGTAGTAGCCTGGTACTTTAGCACCTGTAAATTGTGATGCTCTAGCATTTTTTATTTATATAGTCAAACTTTTTAGGTGTCCTTTTTTTTTCTCCTCACTAAGAGTATGCTTGGTAGGAAAGAAAAATAGAATGAAGAAAGAAGGTGGAGAGATTTTGAGAGAGAAAATGGAAATGTAAGTTGTTTGGTAAGAGAGAAAAGAGAAAGGAAGAGAAAATAGAGTGAAAAATAATACATGTGGGTCCCGCTATTTTTCTTCTTTCCACAAGTGGGCAGAAAATGAGATGCAAAATGAGAACAACTAATTAAAGTGAGCAAAGTTACTAAACTACCATTTTCTCCATCAACATCCAAACAAAAAATTTAAGGGTATAAAAGTAATTTACGAGTAAATTTTTTCCTTTCCTCTCAATTTAACTTTCAATACCAAACAAGTGAAGGTAAACTCATTTTCTTTCCATCTTCTCATACCAAACAACATAAAAAAAAAAAATCAATTTCCTTTCTATCATTGTTATTTTCCATCACTTTCATATTTTTTTTTTATCATATTTTCTTTCCTTCCTGCATAATAGTTAGAAGTGAGAAAGTAATATTGTATATCATAAACATATAGACAAATACACGCCCACCCATTTACGTGTACAATACTTGGACCATATTTTCCCTATTTATTTATTTTATACATTTTGTTTTTGGGATAATGCATTTTGGGGACGGTTAGGGACGTCTCTAATTTGATCGTGGGAAGAAACATAATGAAAAACAGAGTTACGAGGAGCAAACATCGTCATTTAGCATGCGGGCAGTAGTGGGGGCACTGCAGCGCCAGTCAGGCAAAATTTGTGCACCTGGGACCCGAGGGACCAGTGCGCCTGCAATGCGGGCGCTCTGGAGTGGTGCCGTGGCACTAGACGCTTTTGGAAAACTGTTTTTTTGGAGATTTTCTTTCCGTTTTCAAAATGAGAAACTTGTTGAACGAATTTTAGGAGACTTGGAGGCTACTCAAAGGGCCTTGGGGTTATTTAAGGGCTAGGAAACATAGAGAAACATTATTATAATCATCATTCTTCAATTGGGATTGTGAGAGAGAACAATTGTATTGGAGAGGACAAGTGAGAGAGAACTGTGAGAGGTTTCTTAGAGAGTACTCTTGTATCATTCTTGTAATCACTTGTGATTGATCATAATAGACGAAAACATCATATTGCAGGACGTAAGATCTCACATTGAGGTTCGAATCTGGATAAATTCCGTGTGTTGATTATTATTCTTCCTTTTCTTTGTTATATTTTCGTAATTATTTTTTACTTTAAATTTCTTGTTTTATTGTTATTTCTCCGCAAACTGTTAATTCGTGTGCTTAAATCTGTGGGTCCTCATCACAGGGACAATTCATGCATGGTGGGATTGGACACACTATAAAATCATAAGATATGCAAAGGCGTGGTGGTGCCTACTGTGTTGCAAGTAGTTAGGTAGTAAATATACATAATTGGCTCTTTTTCCACTCACTGAACACAAGCAAGTTGCAAACGCAAAAGGAAGGATAAAAAAAGAAAAAAAAGGGGGACATAATCCAAAACTAGGATCAACTTTTGGTTGGTGTTGGGGGCAAAAGCTTTTGGTGCTCCAAAATCAGTTTGTGCTCACGATGTTGTCCTTAAAAGTGCAAGGCCATCAAGTGTGATGCCGTCAAGTTGTCGTGCACACGTGCTCTAGGTGCACTTGATCAAAGAGTGACCAAAATGTGTGTCAAACTTGATAAGGTTTTGAGTTTTTCTCATCATCACTTCTCTCCAATCCTCGGACGCCGAGTGAAAAAAGAATTCAATATCGAGTACCAAACACTGAACAACCCGTTATAGTGGAGCATTCCAGGCTGTTTGAGACATTTATCATTGCTATCGTGAACATGTATAGTGTTAGTGAGAGGGAAAAAAACTCAATTTGGCTTCCATGATGTGGACCGTCGCACCATTTTCTAGTGCCTTGTAGGTAAGTATAATATTAAAAACATGCATAGATGCATTCCCCCCCCTCCCAAAAAAAAAAATCCATAGATGAATAAAGATTCAAGTCGGTTTAGTTGATAAATTATCCGTCTTGTAGATTTTGAATTATCATTTTTGCTAAAGTGAGAGAGAGTCTATTAGAAGTCGTACGTGCCTGTTTAGTAAATAGATATGAAAGTTGATGGTTTGAACTTTTAGAGTCCGTTTAGTTAGAGGATTCGTTATCTGATTCGAATCATGGTTCATGATTCGCTACAGTATTTTTTCTCACAAAAAATACACGTAAATTGAAAAATAATTCTAATCTCATGGTTCTAATTCATGAACCAAACGGGCTCTTATAGTTTAAAATAAAAAGTTTAAAACACATTGTTTGAAATTTCGACTCAAAACATTGTAAACAAGGAGGGGTCCAATTCTTAGGTCTTTTTCTATTAAAAACATCAAATTATTAGTTTGAACCAAGCCTAAAACACTTTCAACAAATTCAATCGCCTTGTGATTCAAAACAATAGTACCCAATGTCCAAATAATATGTTTTAGAGAGGATAAAGAATTTATAAATTATTTTTTCCTTTTTACTTCAATCATTAATTTTGGATAAGATAACTAATTTGATCGAGACTGAGAATTACTCCAAGGACGCTCGTTATTATTTTTTTATTTGTTTTTTTTTTTTCAATAAAAACAATTGAAAATTGACACTGATAATTGGTGAGAGAACACAGAGCACAAATCTGGACTTGCAAGAGATGGAATAAGAAATCAACTCATGTGTCCCCTGTTCCTATTCTCTTTTATATCCTTTTAATAATATCACGACACATTAATTAAAATGCTACGTTAGTTAAAATTTCTTATCACATCAATAAAAAAAATAACGACAATAATTTTAATTTTAATTGACAATTAAAATAATTTTAAGACCAATTTAGTTTGATGATTTGAGTTTTTAATTTAAATTGAGATGTGACTTTATGTGAGAATTTTTTACTGTAGTAAAAAAATTAAATGTGATTATTTTTAAAAAAATTTTACTATAACAAAACTCAAATTTTAAACCCAAATAAGTAAAATAAACGGAATTTTAATTGACAATTAAAATAATTTTCATGACAATTATTTTAATTTTAATTAAAATAACTTTAATTGACCTGACATAAGTACACCAAAAGAGGACAAATTAAGTGGGCATCTAAGTGCGATCCACGGAATGGAACAGAGTTCATTTGATAAACGGCACAGAGACTATAAAGCACAACCCAGACTAAGGTTACAAAAAGGATCAAACATTACGTAAAAGGCTAGAAGCAGAGTTTTGTTTGCTCGACACAGCACTGTTTGCATTGAGCAAGGATATGCAGAGCCTTTTCTTTTCCCCCTAATACCATTTATCAATGTTAGAGTTTATACAAATTACAACATCTTGAAAAAAAAAAAAAAAGGTAATTCTAACCAATAACCATCAAAATTTTCCTCGGAAGTTTTTCGGGAGAAAAAAGAATTTCTAAACCAATCCAAACTTCTGGCGCAGAGGAATTGGTAAGAGCATTCTTTGTCTTAAAAGTTAGAATCAAACCAACGCTACACATTTGAGTGCTACAAACTATACTGGAAAGAAGCGAAGAAACAACAGCCGTGTTTAGAATTCATCCCATTTTTGTTTTTTACGTTTTTTAAGAAAAAAAAATAAAAGTATTTCTAAAACGGCGTTTGAAGTAATAAAGATAAAAAATCAAAATAAAAATAATTTTTTGATTTAATTTAAAATGAGAGAAATGAAAAACGATTTTTAATCGTTTTTTATTTTTTATTTTCGTTTTCTCATCTTTCCAGCAGAGAAAGAAAGAAAGACATTAATAAATTTTTTACATTAAAAATAATTTTTTAATAAAACTACCAAATACATTTTTAAAAATAATTTCTATATAAAATTAAAAACGTTTTCATTTATATTTTCATATAAAAAATAAAAATTATTTTAAAATAAATTCTAAACGCCCCAACAAAAAGTAAAAGAACCAAAAGATTACATGGCCCGAACAAAAATTGCTAACGAAACATGTAACATATTACCGTCTTGCCACGGGGACCACATTTCAGCAAAGATCCTGTTGAAAAAAAAAATCACTACACACGTTGTTTGGAAGAAACAAATTTCTATTTTAAACTACTAAGACTTATTCTTTTAGAATAAAATTAAAAAAAAAAATTAACTCAAGTTATAATTTTTTTTAAGTTCATATTTCTTTGTAAAATTTAAATTTAAACTTGAGTTTTAATTTGAATTTGAGATTAAAATCTGAGTTTAAATTTTCTCTTAAACTCAAGTTCTTAAAGTTAAACTCAAGTTAATAAATAATTTTTTTTTATTCTTAAAAACGTCATAACTTTTTTATTTTAATTCCGATTGAGATGATTTTTTTTCCTATGCGTTTACAACAAAAAGAAGAATAAAACCTCACCCATATATCTTATTAAAATTTTTCATCACTATTAAATTTTTATTAAAATACTATATAAATACAAATTCAAGTTTTGATCCACTCAAATACAAACTTAAATAGATTCTCAATTCAAATCATAACTCAAATGTGCACATCTAAACACAAACTCAAATTATAACTCAAAATCTACAATCAAGTCATCATAACTCAAAAATACAACCGAACAAGTCCTAAAGATTCTCAACTCGGTTATCATGACAAGCGGAAAGTGCTCATCTAACTCCGGAGGATGCATAACGACCAAATCAGGCAAATGTGTTGTTGGCCCTTTGCTTGCCTTTCGGATCCCAGTCGAGCATAATTTTGACCTTGATACCAAGTACTCCCTGTTACAATTACAATAGTAAAATTGTAAGAGTGGAGACCATAACTGAACTCAATACAACAAAACAAAGTTGGGGATATAAATTAACCAGGTGATAAAGAAAGACGAGTATTGCAGACCAGTCGAAGAAGTCTACAGCGGAATCAACTTGTTCTTTGACAAGTCGACCAAAGGATATCAGGTATCCATCCCTAAAACTTCATTATTTTGCACACTATGCCCTGAATTTTTCACTTACAATAACCTGTATGAAAATCGAGCGACATATTTTCAGGAATCACGACTTTCCTAGGCCACCAAACATCAACCAAAAAAGCGACAGTGATCGAAAAGTTAAGAAAACAAAAGAGGTAAAAAGATAAAATACCTCACATCTCTTTGCACCACTTTTTTACATAAAATCTTAAGACAACTTGAAGCCCTACAAAAGTCAAAAATTAAAGTTTATATATATCTAAGGAAAAAAATACAATGCTTTAAAGGCACACGAGAAATCACCATCAATAAATATTTGGATATGACCATCAAGTCCATCAAATTTGATCGACCAGTGACTAACATTGGTTAACTACTTATGGATACTAATCGATCAGTGATTGACTACTAAACCAATCAAACAATCACTCATAACCTTTTTTTCTTATAGAAAAAGACATTTTCCGAATTTATCAAAGAACGCCTTTAATCTCCATGGGGATATATCCCAACTACTTATATATAGCATGCCCACTACATATGAGTAACGGGGATAAATTCACGTGGGGATGAATAAAACTGCTCCTTTTTGAAACATGAGACATTTATTAAAACAATGTTCTGAAAAAGGCTTTTTTCCGACATATAACTAGATAAATTATGTGGGATGACTGGTTTTGATCACCTCACCTAATTTCTCTAAAAATTTTAACTCCATACAATTTGACGAGTAAAAAGTATAAACAGCCATCTGAAGTTTGAAAAAAAGAATGCCATTATGCCAATTCCCAAAATTGAAACAAGAACTTAATTCCAACCAACCAAATTCTTTTTTCATTAACTTTTTTTTTGAGCAAACTGGGAATGTTTGAAATAGCAATGCGGAAGGATATTCCAACCAACCTCCAGGCACATTTTAAACGGCACAAGAAGCCTGACAAACTCCATAAAGCGTTAATGTACGCATTGAGATACACCCCACAACGCTCTTGAGGAGAGACGGAGAGGGAATATGGAACTGATATCTCAATGCTTGTAGGGTCAAGCAATTAAACATTTGGCATAAATAAGCATTTAGAAATCAAAACTATGAAGACTTCAATTACATTTCTTGGTTGGCCTAAATAAGCATTTTCATTTCAACAAATTAATGAACTCAACATAGACGGATAGTAATGGCAATCATAAGAAATGTGCGATCCCATCTGAAAAGCAAGGAACATGGACATTATTCCGAAGCAAACAAAATTAAGAATTAAGATGGGAACACAAAATTATCGTCATCCTCAGACACGACATAGGTATTTGCAAATAACCTACTCGCTGTAAAGATGACTTTCTACATAACAAAAAACCTGTCGTTTAAAACCAACAACACACGAAATAAGACCAATAACATATTGCACCAATTTTTCTTCAGTCTATCTGTCTAATTGGTTGGTTCATTTTTCTTATTCGAGCAAATTCCATAGCTTTTAGAAGAAACAAAAAGAGAGAGAAAAATCGATCGAACAACTCTAACCTCATTCAGCTATCCGAAGAACACGCCCTCTCCTATGAACTGTCACAATAGAAGTGAAAATACGTTACAAAAAAATACTCGAATGAGCGGAAAGATCGTGATCAGAATCGCAGTAACAAGAGAGGTACCTTCGGCCTCTTGCTCATCTGAGCCGCTATTGTGTTTCCGGAACGGAGACTCGAAGTATTGATCCGTTTGGTTGAAACCCTAACGATATATTGATATTTACGACGGAAGGGTAGAGGTCGATTTTTAGTGTGTATATATAGTCGAACTTGTCTCATATGTAGTAGTAGGGGATCTAGGAACTTTAAAGGCGCGATCATGTTGGACGGACAGGATGAGGTAATGCAATCTTGTTTATTTAGTGAGTGTTTGGTTCGTCGATTGGGAGATTTAGGAGTTATTTTTTTGGAGTGTGACTTAAGTGTAGTTTTTTAGTTAAATTTGAGTTTAAAGTTGTAACTTAAATAAAGTTAAATAAAATTAGAACTTAAAAGAACGTGAACTTGAATAAAGTTGTAACTTGAGTTTAAACTTTTTCTGAGTTTTATTGTAAAAGAACAACCCTTAAATTCTGGGACTAAAGCTGAATCTGTGTTTGGAAGCCCAAAATGATTATAGTGGGTTAGAATCACAAAGGGTGATTAGGATCATTTGGAGCCCTCATTTTAGAATCAGGCCCCCCTTGATTTTACCGTTTGAAACTCGAGCATGCAGTGAAAACCACTGTGCTCTCTTGCAATAATGCACCCCACCCAACTTCCACCGACCGAGTCCTTCCTCTCCCATGCTTGGGCTGAGAATCTCCAGACTTTTTTCCTCTCGCATGGGTCAGCAGGTTGAGCAGAGAATCTCGCCTTTTTTGGGACTCTCTTCCTCTTCTCCTATTCTACTCTTCTCATCTTCTCTATTACTTGTTTCCAAGTGCCAAAGCGGTCGGCGTTGATGAGAAGTGACCGGAATAAAGGGGTTTTTGTCAACAATCAAAGAAAACTCCACATTCGGTACCAATTTCGCCTATACTACATAAGTAAGGTCATTTCTCGCCTTCACCAGAGAGAGGACAGAAGGTCGTTGAGAATACTAAAAACACCGTCTTCTGCATTTGGAGTGCTGCATGCGTTGTCCTTCATCTCGTCATCAGACTCAAACTCTATAACGGTATGCTCTCCTGACCTTCTGCAATTTTTGTTTTACCATGCAAAGGAGTTGGTTGTGATTTTGGTTTCTGGAGACGTGATAGTTTTTTATTTGGTTGTGATTTTAGTTTTTGGAGACCTGATAGTGTTTTATTTGGTTGTGATTTTAGTTTCTGGAGACCTGATAGTGTTGGACTTGGTTGTGATTTTGGGTTCAATTTTTGGTTAAAGTTTGTTCTTGAATTTGATAATTTTGTCCTGCTTGAGTATGTTAAAGAATAATGTGTCTTCTAAGGAAAAAATAACAAATTGTAAGGCTAAAGATTTGTTGGCGGTAGTCGTTAGGTTCTCAAGATTTGTTGTAATGTTGTTTGTGACTACCAGCCTATGATTTGCCTATTCCAACAAAGTATGCTCCAAACTTTAGAAATGAACTGCTCGGCAACTTCCAACTATAGTTTATAAATGATATATTTTCAACTATAGGTAGCTGATGGTGAATGAAACTTTGGTTTAGTAGTCTGTATTGAAAAATTGAGGATTCTGTTGGAAATTTGGCTGTGTGTGGGGCATATGCCTTCTTTCTCCCCCTATTTTTTCCACTGTGCTTGTTGAGTTAAATATGTTTGTTCTACCACAAAGTAAGTTTCTACAACAAGTAGTTGCGTTTGTAGGTAATTACTTTTTGTAGTCATTCCTTCGTCAAATAGTAAGCGATAATAATTTCATTTCTCTACCAATTGTTCCTCACAGAGTATCTTATTCCCTTGGGGAAAATGATTTTAGTTTAAACCATGCCATATATACAGGAGTTAAAGTTTGTATAGTTTGTTTGTTTGATTTTTTTTTTCTTTATTTGGTGGAAGTAGAGTTTGTATAGATTTGAAGCAAGAAAAAAAAAATCCCCGCGAATTGGTTATTTTATTTATTTTTATGCTTGGAAGCAATATTATTTATTCGGGAGTTTTTTCAGTAGGTATGGTAATTCAAAGAGTTTCTCCAGTAGGGTAGACCTCCTTACCGGTGTCGGTAGGACTTAATTTCTAATTGTTGCATGTAGTATAATGTTAGGAACACTAATTCAAATTTTAACTCTTGTGTACTAACTGACATGACATGTGAGTTGTCATATTTTTATTATTAGATGCAATCTATTATCATTAATTGATATGACAATATTTTAAACATCCACCAATATAAAAATGACAATTTATATGTTACATCAGTTGGTATATAAGAGTTGAGATTTGAATTGGTGTCCGTAGCATTATTTTAAAATCATATTAAATTAAAGTTTCTAATACAAATATAACAGTGGAAAGTAAAAAATTATATTGATAGTTATTTTTTCTGATCCTATTAAAGAAACTCATATCATATTTATTGGCATGCTTAATTGCTCGTGATTATTTTTTTTTTTAATGAAAGTTTGCTTGTAATTATAAGATCTTAAAAACGTGGATAATCAATCTTTTATAGAATATAAGAAAATTATACGAAGTGGTTTCAAGCACAACGTCTTGTGCGTATTATTTCAACCATCAGTTATAGAGTTCCACTCTGCAAGTTAAACAAATGTTGTACAAACACAGTTTTTTTTATTTTATTTTTTTTTTACGAAAATACAGTTATGGTTGTCAAAATTTAATCTATTTCATTAAGTTTTATATACTTTTTATATGATTTTGATGTAATTTAACAAAATTAGGTTGAATCTTGAAAAAAATAAAGTACTTGTCTCATAGTTTGTTTACGCAAACTCTTATTCTAGTAGAACATCAATGAGAAATAGCAAGCTAATTATAATTATTTTGATAAATAAAAATTAATAAAATTCTTCAATTGCCAAAACACATTTCATCATGAGCACCTTAGATCATAACTGAACAAAAATACACACTGCGATTTAATCATTAAAATGGATAAGTTTCCGTACTAAAAAATAAGGGAAAAGTTATCCTATGCATACGTTCAAATGAACTGCAAAGAAATTATCTTCCAACGGATAACATCTTTGTACCTAATTTTGCAATCCTACAAGACCCGAAATAAAGAGATCTCGTTCTGTGAAGCACTCGGTTTGCGCAAAATATGAAAGCTACATTAAAAACTACAACATACAACACTTGTCACCGGCAATATGATTTTCTTTCCCATCCTATTATTCTCATTTCTTTTAAAAAAATAAATAAAAAATAAAAATCTCAAATCCTTTTCATGATTGAACAATTGTATAAGTTTCTAAGCTCCAATTCTTTATCATCCTCTCTGTTGAGAGGCAGCTGCACCTGACAGATTGAAGTGCTAGAAGTCTGAATGATACAGGCAAACCAGGCTTGAATGAGTTATCGGGGTTCGGCACAGAGGACATTCCGGCTTTTCATTGCACCATTCCATAATGCAACTCCTACAAAAAGTTGCAAATCGAACAAGATATGAGATATGACACACAAATAAGCTAACATGTACAGATCTTCATCGTGCAAGAAGAAACAATACCAGCAGAATACATGGCCACAAGGCGTGGCTGTCGGATTCTGACGATTACTCAGACAGAGCGTGCATTTGCTAATGGACTGCATGGTTGACCGAGACCAAGTTAGTCATATTTGAATAATTAGATGATACCAAAAATTGATGTACAGCGTAAGAACAAGACAAGATACTATTTCCAAATTGGAATTCTAACTGCCACCAAATCCCTCACTTCATTTAAGAAAAGAAAAAAGAGAGAATAGTGGGAGAACCAAAACACATACCTCTGAAGATGACGATGCATCATACACCAAACTGCCAGTGTCTGTTGAAACCAAGTTACCTTCCTCATTTATAACAGGCAATCCTCCCCCTGTAAACCCATGACGAAGGAAGACGATCGAGTTAGTGAACTCAAATACAAGAAGAAACTAATTAGTTGAATAACTATCCTGCCAAACTATATATAAAAGAGGTAGTAATCAAAGAATGTATTGGTCACTGCAGCTTCTCCTAGAACAGCTACCAAATTCAAGTCGATATTCTTTCAACATGACATAAAAACAAACAAGGACCGAATCGAAACACAGTGAAGTAATCAAAATACGTATTGAATAATTCTTGATGAAAAGAAAGGAAAAGCAATACAGTTATCAGCAACCTGTTGAAGCTTGGTGGGGACCCAAGGATGTCTGATGAACTGAACGTGCTATTGAGGATAAATTGCTTCGCCGGAGTCCTTCAGCAGCAATGATACATAGCTGAATAAGTAAAAATACTCCCAGAATTTGGTATCTGCATGCAGGGAAATCAGTTAAATGATAATATTATACATGCTGAAAACACACGATTATTGAATGTGAAATGTAATTGGATTTTTGCAGCACAACTGAGGCAATGGAACTCTTAATGCTCAAGTAAATGGAGGAAACTGTTCAAGATCATTAGTGGACAAGGGGCAACCAATAAAACAACAAGAAAGACAAATAGTGGGAAACGGATTATAATCAACTGCTCATTCTGATAAATGGCTCAGATATGAGAACTAGGGTGAAAAACGAACCAGAGGAGTGCCTAAGCCTGCTACATAAATTATTTTCGTTGAGAGGCAACTAAAACTAGCAACAGCTTTCGAAGTTGGAAATTCAAAGTTGTAAGTTTGACACAGATCTCCATAGAAAAGTCGGCAACAACTCTCTGTGATGATACATACCTAGGCCTTTGATTTGATGGCTTCCCAATAAAGACATAACGAATGCCAGCTGCACGTTTTGATATATGATAATAGAGGCCTGCAAAAAAAATTGACCATAACATAATTAAAAATTCTGCCACAACCTTCATTAAGAACTTCATTCACCATCTATGAGCATCTGAGTTAAAAAAAGTACCTTCAAAGTAAAAGAACATGAGGTTTGCACGAATAACTAATTGCAAAAATTCGCGAGCTACAGGAAGCACCTGAACACAATAATAGCATAGATGCATTAGCCACAAAATCATTGAACTTGGTGATCTCAAAGATATTACAACATTAAGGTGCGCAAGAGCAGAATAATTAAGCAGCAGAACATAAATGAATAAAAAGTAGAGCTGGAACCAAATTTACATAACACTTTCGGTAGGCATCAAATTCAAGGCTCGATAAGAGATAACAGCACAATAAGTACCGCAGGCCATCTCTGAACTGCATAGACCCACAATCTATTGATTTTCTGTTTCAACCTTGTCATAGCTGAAACAGGTTGCTCTGATGCAGATGTAGTTGGACTCTCCATCACCACCGAAGAATTAACACGATTGCTTCCAAAAGCATCATCTCCAAATACGTCATCGGACTGCGAATCAGCAAGGACAATGCCACGGGAAGCAACTCTTGAGCTGCCAAAAAGAAATTTCAGACGCCTCTGTAAGGAAACTTTGCTCAACCAATAAATCAAAACAGCTAAAAAGCAAAAGATAGCTCTGTACCTAATTCGCTCCGCAATATAAGGAACCGCCGTCTGATAAACAACGAAAAGAGCACGCCTCGCCGGGGTTGGAGGAAGCTTATAAGGTCCTGCAACCTAAAGAGAAAGCAAGGAAAAGGAAAACGATCATTGACAAAACTCAAGAAAACTCTCAAAAACTCTTCAAAAGAAGAAGAAAGAGGAAAACACAATAATCACTCTACTCTAGTATCAATCATATACAAATCTGAAATGCGCAAATTGAATCTACAAACCTGGGTGATATCACAGTACTCTTCTCCCAAAGTTTGCTGCCCTGAACCAGTTGTCAATACATAATAAAGCATTTGTCCAAGAAGTTTCGTCTACATTTACAAAACCGGGAAAAAAGAGAAGGTTTTCAGCATAGTATTCAATAACAAACCGTACCCATCAGCGATCAATCTATTACTGTGAGAAAGTTAATGGCGAAGAAATCAAAAGGACAAACCTCACTTTGGTATGCGACGGCAATTCTTGTACCTGTAGCAGCAAAACCATAGATTATCGATCAATAAAGAGGTGGAAATTTGGGGGGGAGAAAGAAAAGCAAAAGAGAAAAGAAGAAGAAGAGACCGAAGAGATGGCGAAAAGCGTCGCGACAGGCGTCGTAGACGAAGGAAGCGTACTGGTCGTCCTTCTCGGCGGCTCTCATGATCTCCGGTTGAGCTGCCAGAGGGAACCGCCGTGGAATTGCTGGCTCCGAGCTGCTCGGACCGGCCTCCTCTCCGCCAGACCCAACGGCGTCGTTTCTTCCCGGACCCATCATTCCACGTCTAGGCCCTTTCTCTGCCCTTCTGGGACAAAAACCGAAATCTGTGACTGCAACAGACAGGCTTTAATCTTTTCTTTTTCAAAGGAAAAATGCGAAATACCAATTACCATGGTATTCTTCTATCCTCTGAACTCTGGTGACTGGTGTAAAAGAAAAAAAAAATAAATATAATTATAAATTGTTCCATCGAAAAAAAAACGCCGTTGCCGGGGATCGAACCCGGGTCACCCGCGTGACAGGCGGGAATACTCACCACTATACTACAACGACTTGCTTTGTTTAGTGTTAGTTACATTGAATTATTTAATAATTAGTAATGGGCACGATTGACGATTTTTCTCCATCTCCTATTCCTACCACCATTATATTGCTTATAAGAAACTAGGACTGTACAAAAAAACCGTAAAACCGAAACCGACCGCAACCAACCGAAAAACTGACCGCTCAAAAATCGAAACGGCGGTGCCACGTGGAACCGAACTACTTCGGTTCGGTTAACCGACCGATAACCTTGATTCTCGGTTCGGTTTCAGTTTTGTTGTGGATCTTTCGGTTAAAACCGAACCGACCGAAATTATTAAAATGTTTTCATTTTTTTTAATTTATGCTGTCGTTTTTGATGAGTTGATGTCGTTTTTGAAGGTTGGATGTCGTTTTTTCACTCAGAATCACAAAACCCTCTTTTCTCACGATTCTCATTTCTCTATCTCTCACTCTCTCTGTTTCTCATTCTCAATCTCACCGTCTCACGATTCTCATTTCTCACCCCAGCCCGGCAGCCCCCAGACAGACACCCCCCACCGGCCACCCACCCGGCACCCACACAACCTGCCACCCACCCTCACGCACGCCTCACCTCTCTCACTCTCACCCACCCTCACGAAAGCCCTAGCCGCCGCCTCTCTCCTCCGTCGTCCTCAATCGTATTTCCGCCGCCGCTCGCACGTCCGCATCTCACGGTGAAAGAAGCCCTCGCCGCCAGCCGCCGCTCGCACGTCCGCTTTCGCCAAGCTCGCACGTCCGCCTCCGCCGCCGCTCGCACGTCCGCCTCCGCCAAGCTCCGCCGAGGTTAGGCTTTTGATTCCCCACTTTCTATTTCCATCAATCAAGCTTGGGCAATTGATGATTGGCCGCTGTTTATGTTGGAATGGGCCGAATGATTGCTGTTGATGATTGCTTTGATTTTGGCCGCTGGATTGAAATGTTGGATTGTTGATTGTTGTTTGTTGCTTTTGATTTTGGCCACTGTTGATTGTTGTTTGTTGCTTTTGATTGTTGATTTTGGCCGCTGTTGATGATTGCCGCTGTTTGTTGCTTTTATTGCCGCTGAATTTTGTTTGAATGTCGAGCTTTATCCGCCATCTCTACCTGCTTCTCCACATTTTGCATGGGTATGGACGTTATTTTATGCCCTGAAGAAGCATTGATTTTTTATTTGTTGGTTGAATTCTCAGCAATCTCATGCGTGTTTGCTTCGTTTATGGTAGCTTGGTTTGAGTTGTTTGATTTAACCTTCTTGGGTTGCTGAGAAAACGGATATAAATTTTGTGTAGTTAAAGCTTGGTTTAAGCCCATTAAGTGTTTGTTAAAATGCTTATGCGGTGAAAATAAGTATTTTAACTTGGTTGTTTTCTTCACTTCCTTTTCTTACAGAAAAATTAGTGTAAGAAGTGGATGTTTACTTTATTTATATATATATATATATATATATATATACACACACGTAGATAGATGACATGAACCAAGAATAGTTGGTCCCTTTTCTTGTTGGGAGCAACTTCCACTGAGTCACTGATGTTTACGGTTTACCCTTCAATTCAACGCACGTTTGGAGTTTGGACATAATGTTCTTATTGTTCTTATTGTTCAAGTTGTGTTCTTTGGATTTCATGCTTGTTAGTGAAAGTATTATGTACAATTTGAAAAATCTCATGTAGTGAAAGCATGTTGTTTGTGATTGTTTAACTTTTAGCTTAATTCTTTTAGATGTCTTCATCGGAAAAGCAAAAAGAGATAGAGTCTCAATCTAGTCAAAAAGAAACCGAAACTACTGAAACACAAGAGACAACTGAGGAAGAAAGGAAATTTACTAAGAAAAGGAAGAAAGCCCGACAAGTAAGCCCGGTTTGGCAACATTTCACGAAGGATGAAAAAACCAAAAGGGCTACTTACAAGCATTGTGGTGTCACCTATGCCGCTGATTCGAAAAAGAATGGCACATCTACAATGAAAAATCATATAGAAAGTTGCTTGATGAATCCAGAGAGTGAAAACAAACAAAAGACCATCCAATTAAGTAGAAAGATCAGAGCACATGAGGAGGACACTGCTTCTAGTACCATGACACTAAGAGCTTGGTCTAAGGAGGGTTATAAGAGAGTCGTTTCAGAGTATATCGTATTGGATGAGTTACCGTTTCGACACGTGGAAGGTAAAGGGTTTAAGCGCTATTCGGCGTACTTGAATCCTAGAGTGTTTGACATTTCAAGGATAACAATTGCGAGGGATGTTTATCAAATGTTTTTGGAGGAGAAGAAGAAGTTGAAGAAGGTTTTAGGAAAGCAACGGGTGTGTTTGACGACTGATACTTGGACATCAATTCAGAACATCAATTACATGTGTTTGACTGCACATTGGATCGATGAAGATTGGAATATGCAGAAAAGGATAATTAATTTCATCCAAGTTTCGAATCATAAAGGAGAAACAGTTGCACAGGAGATTTTGGTTTGCCTTAATGATTAGGGCATAACTGCATTGTTCACAGTTACAGTGGACAATGCATCATCCAATGATGTGGCTATGGACAGGTTGAAGAGAAAAGTCAAAGATATTCCTAATTTTCTCGTCTTAGATGGCCAGATGATACATATGCGGTGTGTCTGTCACATTCTAAACTTGATTGTTAATGATGGGCTCACGGACTTAGCATATTCTATTGTAAGCATCCGCAATGCAGTTAGGTATGTGAGGTCCTCACCTCAACGCCTCAAGAAGTTTAAGGAGTGCATGAAGGAAGAAAACATCAACTCAACTGCCCTATTGTGTTTGGATGTGAGGACGAGGTGGAACTCTACCTACCTAATGTTGGAGACTTCTTTCAAGTTTGTCCCCGTTTTTGAGAGGTTGTTTTTGGATCAAAACTATTGTGCTTACTTTGATGAACTTATAAAAGACAAAAAGATATAGGGTCCACCAAATGAGACGGATTGGGACAATGCAAGGGTTTTTCTGAGGTTCTTAGGAAAGTTTTACACTTTGACGAAGAAGTTTAATGGTTCATATTATGTCACTTCAAACTTCTATTTCAAAGATATTTGTGCTGTCAAACGAGAGTTGATTAAGTTAGAGGAATGTGTGAATAAGAAATTTGATAAGTATTGGGGAAATGTCGAGAAAATGAATCACATGATGTTTCTTGGCTTGGTTATTGATCCAAGATATAAGTTGAATTATCTTACTATTGCCTTCAAGTGTATCTACAATGATTCGACATCTGTCACGTTGTTAAAAGGGGTTGAGGACACATTGCGTAGATTGTACAAGGAATATCATGATCGGGCTCCTCCTCCACCTTTGGCTCCTCGTCATCCCCCTCCCCCCCTAATTCTACTATTAAGCAACCGTAATTATCACAGTTGGCCAAACCTCGATTTAGGAATACAATGTTAGCTCACTCAGTAGAAACTTATTCTGGTTGTATTTCAAGTCGTTCAACAATTACGGCATCTAGTGAGCCCGCCTCAATGCCGGTTATTGATGATGAGATAGAGGCCATGTTTAGAAAGCAAAAGATGAGTGGGAGTGGTGTAAATGTGCAAAAGAATGATGTGGATAAGTATTTAACTGAGCAATGCGAAGAGCTAGTGGACGACAGTTTTGACATCCTAGATTGGTGGAAAGTAAATGCTCCTAGGTATAAGGTCTTGTCCCAAATTGCTAGAGATGTGCTTGCAGTTCTGGTTTCGACGGTTGCATCTGAATCAGCTTTTTCTACCGGTCGTCGTATTCTTGATCCTTTTAGGAGTTCATTGGCTCCTAGGATGGTCGAAGCACTTATTTGCTTAAAAAGTTGGTTGAACGCGAAGGATGAAGAATATGAACCCGTGGTTCTTAGGCAATATATGGATGAGGTTGAATCTTTTGCAGGTTGCTATCATGTTGTCTCAGGTAATGCTAATCATGATTGTACATACTACACATACTTGATATAATTATATCTTATTTATTCATTTCATGACATATGTAAATTAATTTATAATTTTCTTGTAGATGATGGTGAGGTTGTTTCTACTCCAACGTGTTCAAAGGACGGAAGCGCTCAAGTAAATGATGCGGAATCTTCTAAAAGACCCAAGTAAGATAATTAGAATTATATCTATTTCTTTCTCATTATCTATTCAATTTCATTTACTTAATTCTAATTTTCTATTGTAGCGATGCATATGAAGATATAATGGATTTGGATTTGGATTCGGATGAAGGGGAATAGGAGGTTTATGAGAAATTGGAAATGAACTTCACTATGTTTTTTAATTATGCTTTGGACTTCTTAATTTCTTATGCCAAGTTAATGTTTTTTACACTTTGAACATTAGTATTGTTTGTTGTAACTTTTAAATTTCTACTTTATACTTTAGATTTTGGACATTAGATTTGGATATTTTGTGTTTGTGGTATTATCAATTTGGATGTTGTGCTTTGTATACATTTATTGTGATTACATGCTTGCATACAAGGAATATTGAGTATTTTTTCGCAATTTTTGGTCCAAAAATGCAACTAAATATGCAGGTAACCGGATAGTTAACTGACAGTCACCATCCAGATTACTAAAACCGAAAACCGACCGGAAACCGACCGAAACCGACCGAAAACCGAACATTCGGTTAACCAAACCGATTCGTATTTTCACGGTCGGTTTCGGTTCTCAATTTTTAAAAACTGACAAGGTCGGTTCGGCCACCGAACCGACCAAAACCGACGGTTTTTAACCGCCGAACACCCTTATAAGAAACCCTGCAATCTGGATTAGTGACCGCAGCGCGTTTGTGATTTATGAAGTTTAATTTTAAGAAAATTTCATATTAATATCCTATATTTTAAAAGGTAATAATTTGTTAGTACCTTATCTCTTCGATCATTTTAAATTGAGCTAGTAAGGTTTTAAAATTTTATTTTTTAATATCTTAAAGTTATTTTTTGAATGTAAAATGTTTTTACTCTCTTTAATAATTATATAAAAACTAATAATTTTAAAAAATATAAATATATTAAAACAATAAAAAATCTAAAAAAACTCTCTCAATCTCTCTCCTTCCCCCTAACAAATCTCTAGAACACAGACAATTATGAAGAACAACTCATTAGGGTTGTACATGGGTTGGGTTGGTGTGGGATAGGATTTTTTCTTGCTTCGTCCTAAAGGGTGTGGGTTGCACATATTTAGCCCTAATGATGTTAGAAAAATTTCACAACCCAATGATGTTTAGGTTGAGACGGGGCGGGGTGGGTTGGGTGGTCAGGCTCATCATTCAAAGAATCAAAGTTCAATCAAGAGGCAGAGAGAGTCGATAGGAGAGGCAGAGAGAGCTGAGAGGAGAGGCAAAAAGAAGCCGCCGGTGCTAGAGAGCTTAAGGATCTAGGTCGACTGGTCGAGAAAGGACTGAAGACAGTCTGTGTTTGCGTGTGGAGAGGAGAGTTGCTAGACGAGAGAGAGTAGAGCCTAGGGTTAGAACTTAAAACTTAGAGGACAGGGCCCATACATGTTTGTGTGGGTTAGGTTAGGTTGGGGTATGCGAGATATTATATGTCCAACTCACAAACCACCTCAAACACCTCGGGTCAGACATTTAGTGGGCCGAAAAATAAAAAATAATGCTGCAAGTTGCCTTTTTCAATTTGGGTTGGGGTGAGCTGAGTTGAGTTTGCGGGTTGTTCAAGTTTATGTACAGTCCTACAACTCATACACAAATCTAAAAGAAAATCATATTAAAATCATATTAACCCAAAAAAAAATTAAAATCAAGTCCAAGAATGCAAGAACACCAATAACATCAAGAACTCAAAAAACTTAAAATCCACGATTCGATCAGACGAATAAATTCTAAGACCCAATCAGAAATCCGAAGAAGAATAAGAGAAAAAAGAAATTCATCTGAAATTTTCGTCAACCAAACGAACCATTTCAATTTGAATATCTCCCGTTCATGTTCAAATCGATCAATATCCAAACTGTCCAAGTCCAAATATATAGTATAGTATATATATACATTCAACTAAAAAATCTTCCGTTAAATAGAAACGCAAAGTCTGAAAGGCAAACAAACCACCTAAACCTCTCAAAGGATCTACTTTGTGCCTGAAGATTCTCATCTCCAGTCTCATGTAATCTCCATTAATATTATACTAATAATCTAGTTTCCTCGAGTTATTTTTCATATTCCATGGCTCATGTCTAACATTTATATTTATGGGTTTTCTTTGTTTTTTGTTTTTTTTCGTGATGCTAATTTTTTTTCCAGTTTTGGATTTACCATGTAGGGCCGTGCGTGGTCTGGTTCAAACCGCCGCCGGTCCGGTTCCACGTAAAAAGTAGGAATCGTTTAGAAATGGTTTAAAACCGGATTGGACCGGACTGTTTAGAATATGTATTTATAAAAATAAAAATAGAAAGAAACCCTTTGAAACCTTTTTATCAAAACTACGTAGTTTTAACTCCTTTCTTTTGCTTAGGACTACATATGATTGTTGTTTGTAACTTTTAGAATGCTAATTTTAGAGGATGATATGCATTATGTAACATATGATTTTGTTAATTAAAAAAAAAAAAACACATACTAATGGTCCAAAACGCGGTTTAACCGAACCGGACCATTTGTAAGCGGTCCGATCTCATCTTACTAATGGTCTGGTCCAGTCTAGATTTTTAGAAACCGTTATTAATGGTCAGGTCTGAAAACTTAACGGTTTGAGACCGAACCAGACCGTGAACAATCTTAACCTTATGTGAAGAGAATAAAGTATAGGATGGCTTTGGCATGGACGGCGACGCCTCGTCGCTCTTCCTACGCTTGCCGGGACTACACGAGGTCACGACAATGTCAGAGGATGGGGGTCAAGGTCGCTTGGGTGGGGTCGGGGCTGCGACGAGTTGCAACAAGGTTGGAGAGGGAGGAGAGTGCAATGAAAGTGGGTCGTGCGGGGTGGGTTGGGCTTGCCAGTAGTTGGGTCGCTGAGACTAGGCTCGCCAGAGAGAGAGTTATTCGAGAGAGAAAGAGAGAGGAGAGAGAGATTGTTGAGAGAGGAAGAGAGAGAGAGAAGTTTTTTCAATTTTTAAATGTTTAAAAATTATTAGTTTCTATTTAATTAATGAAGAGTATAAAAATAACATTTTATGTCCCAAAAGAGGACTTTAAAAAACAATTTATTAAAACGCTAGCATACCAATTTAAAATTATTAAAAATATATTATTTTAAAAAATGATTACGCTAAAACACATGGTATATTATATGAAATATTCCTTTTAATTTTGGGAAATAGTAGAAAATATGCTAATATGAAAAACTTAAGAAAGTATATAGGCCAATTTTTAGTTATAAAAATTAATAGGCCATCATTTGTCAAGTTATGGTTCATAACCAGATAAGTTATGAACAAACTTGTCAAGTTATGGTTCATAGCCAGACAAGTTATGAAAAAAAACCGTGAATAACTTGTCAAGTTATGGTTCATAACCAGACAAGTTATGGACGAAAATAATAATTTGACCTATTTATTAATTTATGTAAATTATTAACCTATTAATTTTAATTCATTTCAAGTCTTGGCCTATTTCTCTTTTTCTCTCTTTAATTTTTAATTAGGGCCCAAGTTGGCCTTTGAATTGATTTCCCAAATTTCCAATTGTTCCACGGTCCACAGCAAGAGAGCTAATTGTTTACAAGTAAATGAGCAGTATTAACCAGATAACATTCTTATGGTACATATCCTTGACCTTATCTTATACCAAATAAAAAGGGGTCCTCCAAACACCTACAGTAACTCACAAAACCGTCGAAACTCTCCCAAGCAGGCAGGCCATGGCCGTGTCATCCTCCACAGCAACACTCTACATTGCTCAGAAAGGTTTTCCGCTTCCGACGCCGAGAAATGGCTCCACGTTCTCAAACTCCGTCGCACTTGCATTAAAGCCACGCAGATTTTACATAATCAGAAGCTCCAGTGACGCATCAATCGAGAGTACTACTGCAGAGGAGGCAGAGTCAGATAGCTCCATAGAAGTTCCCGAAGGACATCCATCCCTAATTTCTGCGCTTAACGTTGAAAGGGCTCTCCGTGGCATACGTAACGATCACCACTCTCATTTAATATAAAACTCCAATATCTCTTATGTATTTCTTATTCAAGTATGGATAAATTTCTTTTACCATCAAATTTTAGTGTTTTTTTTTTTAATTTCACTTGAATTTTCTGTACCTTAGGAAACTATTAGAAAAGTAAAGTGGCTTTGAAATGAAACTGAATATAGAGTAGGTTTAGAGTGCAGCAATCACAGATGTAGATTATTATGGAAGGCTTGGACTACCAAGAGGGTGCTCATACGATCAGGTTACAACTCTCTAGGCATATCTCCCATAATTTTCCACCATTTCCCCTTGTTGACCATTTCATTCCTTCTAGCAAAGCAGATTGAAGATTTACACATCTTCCCTCTCTCTGCTCTACTTCCAACTGCAGGTTATTGACGCATACAGAAGCAAGACAGAAGAGCTGAAGAATCAGGGATTTGAGGCCGAAGAACTCGACCAAAAGCTCGAAATGCTAAAAGTTCGTAAACGTCTATTATTATTTTAAAAGTTCTGGCTGGTTTAGAATCATGATTTTTAATTTTATTACAGTGTTTTTCTCTTATAAAAAATTTAAATTTTAAAAATTAAAATCATAAATCATGATTTTAAACCTATAAACCAAACTTCACCTTAATCTTTCAAATTGTCTTCATTTTGCCAGTTTTATTTCTTATTTTTTTTTACTATATGTCAACTTCCTAGCAGCCACATATCCTTTTAACAATATAAGATGATCAACAGGAATCGTACACAATTCTGTCAACCCCGGAAGAAGAATTTATGACTGGAGCTTGGCCAGGAGTGAGAACCCAGACAGATACGCTTGGCCTTACGAGGTTGACAGCACAAAACCCCCACAACAACCTCCGCCTGCACAGGTACTTCCCAGAACAAGTGTTTTTCTCTGTTTGAATTCATGGTTTTGTTTCCTCAAAATTTAATAAGATGGAATACATTTGGTTAACATTTGCATTTGTGCCATCTCTATTTTTTTCCATTTCATTCTAAGGATATTCTAAAGTGAAAGCAAAGCACCCTATTAAACACGTTATAAATGCCGTCTGATTTACTATAGAGTGAAGAATAATGTAAGAGGACTTTTCAGACAACACTGTTAAACACACGGTGTAAATGTCGTCCGAAATAAGATGCCCCACTGTAGAATCCCATTTTCTTATATTTTGTTTTTTTGTTTTTTTTTTTTAAAGAGTTGCGGGGAAAGTATTACCCTCTCTTCTCTGCTTTATAAAATGTTTGAAGTTATTTTTATTTTTATTTTTTACGGTTTTTAAGAAAAAAAAAATAGAAGAAAAAAAATGTTTAGTATAATTAAAGATAAAAAATAGAAATAAAAATAATTTTTTAATTTTATATAAAATGAGAGAGAAATGATCCTTTTTTATTTTTTATTTTTATTTTCTCCTCTCTTAAGTATAGAGAGAGAGATGCATTAATGAATTTTTTCATATGAAAACAATCTCTTTGATAAAATTATCAAATGCATTTTTAAAAATGATTTCTGTTTGAGATTGAAAACGTTTTCATTTCTAATTTTATACAAAAAATAAAATCATTTTAGAACGAGTTCTAAACGCACCCTATTATGTATTTATTGTTATGTGTTATGTTTAAACAATTATTCATAAGATACCTGTTTTTGGGGATTTTTTTGTAGGGGAACAGGTTTCTTTTTAGAGTCTCTTGCAGAAAAAAAAAAAAAAGAAAAGAAAAAACCTAGTCTACTCCTCAAATTAATTTGTCCTTAGATTAGCAAAAAATAATAATAATTTGTCCTTAGTATTCCTCATCTCTTTTTGTATAGGATCTATATAGTCCGTTTTCCTTTTACTGCTCTGATAGTATCAGTACGGTTTCTCACGCTAAGATGGTCTGTCTCTCTTGTGGCAGGAACCTGAGGATGTTGGCCCAACACTATCAGTGGGATACTTCATATTGGGATGGATGCTTGTGTCCTTCGTGTTATCTATTGCCCTTAACCGATAAAAGAATGTCTAAACAAACGGACCTCGACAATAATTCCTTCACAATGACATAATTATTTAAATATTAAAAAGTCAATTCAAGAAAACCCGTCTATCCACTTCAAAACCATTTTGTAATTTTATTTTATTATAAAATTGCCTAAAATCACGTGTGAAAAAGATTCAAATCACATGTACAATCTCAAATGACGTATAATCAATTACATTTTGTTACGTTATTTTATATGAAAAAGTCAATTAAAGAGCAATTCAATTTTTTTAATTAATGTAACATGAGGTCATCTCTAACTCCTTACTTCATTTTAAGTCGCTTTATCTTCAAAAAAAATAATAGTTTCACCCCACCTTTGAGTCGCTTTATCTTTAAAAAATAATAGTTTAACACCACATGAGACCATCACCAACCAAGCGCAAAATGCTGATTTACAGCTTAATTTGCACTCTAATTAGACGCTATTGCGCCATGGCATTTTACCGTTTTCAAAGAACACTGTAGTACCGCGGCATATGCCGTGGTACTGTTCACTCAACGTAATTGCACTATGGTTTTTTTTTTTTTTTTTTTATTATTTCCTAATTTTACCCCAGTTCAAAAACACGATCAAAATGTCTTCTTTTTTTAAACTTAAAAATACAAATCTTTATGCCCGTTTGTTTCCTGTGTTTAAATTCATAGTTTTGATTTTATTACAGTGTTTTTCACTCACAAATAATTTAAATTTTAAATGCTAGAATCAAGAATCATTAATTTGAACGCATGAACCAAACGGCCCTTCATTTTGATAGCCAATTTTTTTAAACGATTTTAGTTTAATTTAAATATTTGTGAAAATGAACTAAATGAATACTTAAATACAAAAATTAAATGACAATGCTAAAAATCCAAAATATCACAATAATTAGAATAAACTTACACTAATATTAAAATAAACTTAACGCATCAATTCAAGATGCAAAGGAAGCGCCAACTCCAGAAGTTGAAACGGCGGTAGATGAAAATACCTGATTATAATAATTCCTTGCAGGCCATAGACAAATCAAGGATAAGGATGCTCACATTGCGCTTCGAAATGCATAAATTGATGACTTCTGAGAGGACTATACTAATTCAAGGGATAATAATTCAGATAATTAAATGACGTTTGGGGATGAATATTTTTTCTGTGTTTATGCTTTATTATTAAATGTAACGTTTAGTTGTTAAAGTTTTAGTTATTGTAAGTTCGTGTTTAAATAATATTATTCATTATTAATTTTACGAATTGGTTAAATAAAATATTATTTTATCACATTAATGTGTATTATATATGTTTATAATTAGATAAATAAATTAATTGTCAATAATTATTATAGTAAGTAAAAAAAAGAAATATAAAAAAGATTATAAAAAAGAATATACCAAGAATGTTTCTTTTAGAGTAAAGTTTAGATCAAATGACTTTGGAGATGAACTTTTTGACTGGTGTGAACTCCAAACTTTACGGTTTGGGAGATTTCCTAAGAACTCCAACCTATTTACTGGAAACTTTACTCTAAAAAAAATTCTCAATATGTTTCTTTTTAGTCCTTTTTTATATTCTTTTTTAATTACAATAATAATTCTCAACAATTAATCTATTTAACCAGTTGTGCACATATAGAGTATAATATATATTAATGTTATAAAATAATATATTATTTAATCATAAAAATAATAAATTAATTATATTAATTAAACGCAAATATTTAGATTAAACCAAAATTATTTTAAAAAAAATTAAAACTTGGGATACCAAAAGAAAAATCTTTATTTTTGATAGCAAAAAGGAAGAAATTTTTATCATCCTTTAAGCTTGGGGTAAAAATTAAACAATAAATAAAATACAAATTGGCTTCTTTTTTAATTAAAGAGCGATATCGCAATTGTGTTGGTGAACAATACCGCAGCATGTCACATTTTGCCGCTGCACAATAGCGCTCTGTTAGAGTGCAAACCAAGCGGCGATTGGAGAAACTCTGATATCGTTGGTTAGACAATAGACACCATTTTATACACTAAAATTGAACGTAGAAGCACATTATATCCTTAATTTAAGTCCTATACTAATCAATAATGAAATTAGAAAGTAACTAATATTCGGCCTTAAATTGGGAAAGACACTTTACCAAATCATTATACAATTCTAGATTTGTGATTTTTTTAATCGGGTTAACTTTTAAATTGTAGGAGAAAAGGCTTTAAAAATGATTTCACAAGGAATAAAAAAACCTTGAGAAACCAAAATTGTTAAAAATATTAGATTCTTAAATTTTTTTTTTTTTTTAAAAACAACTCTACGACAGATCAAATTTTAAAAAATACAAAAAATATCTTTAACAACACCTATGACTAAATGGGAAAAAAAAAATCCTTTTTAAACCAACAAACTTCCATTTTTCTTTTATCTTTTTTTTTTCTTTCATATAAAAAAATTCCATGAACTTTCCACTCCCTAAAAATAGCCTTTGTGTTGAAAGTTGCCCCAAATTTAGTTAAAATGCACCAAAGTTGGTTCTATATTAATAAATAGATTAAAAAAATAACATTAAATACGTGTCGCTTCAATAACGTCCTAAATTGTTTTCTTTAACTTAAAAAAAAAACATGTTTGACAATCTTGTTTTTCATTTATGTTTTTTATCCTAAATGAAAGAAACAAAAATTTCTACTTTAGAAGTAAAGATCGGGACAAGACTTGGACTCATGGTCGGACTCAAGATCAAAGTCAAGGTCGGGATAGGAACCAGGTCAAGATTTGGCAATGAGGTCAAAGTCAGGTGCACTGTGGTGGTAGAGACCGACCCCAAGCCAAACTCTGGTTGTAGGTCGTTCCCCTGTCTTGACCCAAAAGTCAACCACAATCCCGACCCGGACTCCTATCTTGATCCTACCCTTGACCTCAATCTTGATTCCTATTCTAGAACGAGAAATTTTTAATTAATAGTTTCAAAACAATAATTTCAAATGGAATTGAGAAATGGAGAAAAAGTAAGAGAATTAACAAACACAAGAATACCAATGTGTGTTTAGGGGAGGGGGCGACCTTCATATTTTAAAATTGACACAAACTCTCACATTTAACGTTTTTGATCTATTTATTTAACAAAAGGGCAAACTTTGACTTTTTTTTATTTTTTTATTTTTACTTAAGGGATTAAATTTGGTAAAACTTTGGACACAAAGACTTGCTAAAAAGAGAGAGAAGTTCAGGGAAAAAAGGAAAAGAAAGAAAAAGTGAGCCACGAAGGCCCGTCCCCTCCTTAAAGCACCACTTTCTCTCGTCTCAAGTACCCCAACCACCGCAAAAGTTTTCCAACTCCAAGATCTAAATGTACGACGACCTCCATAAACTCAAGGTCCTCCCCAACGCTTCCGAGCTTTACCTAAACCTCGACAATCTCAGAATTCCTTCAACGCTTAACCTTCTTGCACCCAACAACATTGATGAGGATTTTGACATAAAAAGGGGGTCGGGCGAGCCCTATGGGAAAAGCGGGAGGCATTGTTGTCAAAGAGGACGGAGCGTGCCAGGCTTGGAAGCAAAAATGGAACTAAAGAAAAAGGGTGTAAGAGGGCCAGCAAGTGTTTCTAAAGGAACTTAGAAGGGCAACAACCAATTGCCTTTGCTATTCATGCCAGGGCTCGCTTGCACTTTTTTCTTTTAAAAAATGCAAAAGTATTAATTTATGAAAATTGCTGAAATTATCCCTAGAGTGTATTAAGTTTAAATTTTTAATATTAATTAAAAATAAGAGGTAAAAATCTAAACACATGCAAATGATGTCTTTTTTTTCCCTATAAACATTCTTCCCAATGTTAAAGTTACAGTTAAAGATTGTTTTTTTAATCTTTTTTTTTTATTTTAAAAAGAGAGAGAATGCTTTCTTTATGCGTAAAAAGTCATAATAGAATTTTTCAAAGGAAAAAAATAACGGCAACGCTAATTTTTGTTTTTAAATATGATTCTAAATTTTCTAATCAAGACAAAAAAAAAAATGTGTGCAATACCTATAAGAATAGGTACTCTACCCAAAATTCTATCCTTTTTTACATTTCTGATTTCTGTTTTTGGGTTATATTACGTGTGTTGTATGCCTCCATTTTTCCCGCCTTCTCCACAGGAAATCCCGCGCCTTCACATGGTCACATCCCTTTTATCGCCTTCCACCGACAACGCACATCATCTGTTTCACTTGTGCCACCGCCAACTACAACCAACAATTGCCACAGCCACAAAATCCTACACCAGTCGACTATCTATCACCATAAAATTCTGGGTAATACTGGCGTAATTAGTCCCCCAAACTGTGTAAGCGACAAGTAAATCCCTAAACTTTTAATTTTGACAATTAAATCCTAAACTCTTGATTTAGTGACAAATATTGGCGTCATTATCACCCCCAAACTTTTTCGGTTTTACGCTTTTTAAGTGTCCTGGGTTTTATCAAAAACTTGGTATGGTAGTTCAGAAAGAGAGAGAAAGAACTTGTTTCTTTGTTTCTTTTTTTTTTCCCCTCTTTCTTTTTATAGGAACTTAGTAAGTTCCATAAAAACTGACATATGGGGCACGTGATCTATTCCCTCAGATTTTTTAGGGACGTTATCAATTAGACTAGATTTGTCACTCAATTAGGAGTTGGAGACTTAATTGCCAAATTTAAAGTTTGGGAACCAATCGCGCCAATTACCGAAATTTGAATTCGCCTTGAAGCTCTCTTCTTAATCTCTCCCTCTATCACTAATTTGATCAGTAAAATTTCAATTGGGTCTCTGACTCTCCCTGCCCCTTCCTCTCTCCTACTCCAATCTACTTTTAGCAGATCCGAGGGTCTAATAAGAAAATGTGTGTGCGCGTGTGTGGAAAGAAACATACCTTCAACTTACAACGATCTCTGCAGAAAGATGTTCACAGCATAAACAATCGCTGCACAAAACTTCTTTGCTAGCGTCCGCATCTTATGCTAAAAGAGTGAAGAAGGGTAAGTTAGCAGATATTAAAAGAAAATACTTATTGTCCAAATGCCGCTGAACTAGATCTGTATCATCAACAAAACCAACAGAGAATTATCCCATCAGATAAGAACCAAGTCTTAATTGTGTCAAAAATAAAAAGTCCATCCCTTTCTATCATAAAGAGGTAAAAAATATTAGAGCTAAAAAGAACAAAACCTGTACAGATACCTATACACTCTTTTTATTTCGCAAAAAAGAGTACCAGCGAGACCAGCAAGTATGTAAGTGTGCTTCATGTACACTCATTACCTCGGGGATCAGCCCCTTGCCTCCTTCAGTGTCCCTTTTTCCGCTTATAGTACCGATATTCTTCTGCACCATCCTCATCTGATCCACTGACCATTTGCCACCTGCTGTGACTTGGCTCAATATTGTTACTCTCCGAATTGTGCTTGGAGTGTTTGGAACTTTGACTGGGTTCTTTTTTTTGCTTCCTCTGTTCACCTGAAGTGGCGTCTTCCAAGTCGGATTCTGCGAAGTGGTGTTTTTTATTGTGCCTTCTGATACCATGCTCAACTCTCTTTCTACCAGAGTCATTTTCATTTCTAGCTCGAGGGTGATGCTGACAAAAATCGTGCTCCTTTTTTCCATCTTGCTTTTTGTAGCTTTTATGATGGTGCCTTTTCCTCTCATCGCTGTGACAACCGGAGCTGCATGGCAGATCGTCCACTTCAGAATTTGGTCTCTCTGGGCGATGATTCTGCTTCTGATCTCTAGGAGAAATCTTCTGAGGATATCCATCTGCCAAGTGAATGTCATCGTCTCTGTGGCTGTAATGATTACTTTTCTTCTGGGACCTTTGTGTAGAACTGTCATCAGAGTAGCTTCGACTCCTTTCCTTGCTTATATGACCTTTGAGATCATACGATGTTTCCTTCTCAGCAACAAAGCACACCTTGTTAAAATCTCCATTTTCGTCATCCGCAAGCCACGGTTCTCTGGGAAAAAGTAGTACCATAATACTTGCATATTGAATCAATTGACAAATTTCCAGAAAAAGTAGCTAAGACAGGACAGATATTTACCGTTAATCGAAGGCATGTTAATTAGTGTTTACTATAGTTTTGAGAGATATTTTAGAAGCAGGACTCATAATTGCAAAGGGAATGTTTGATTTATTGTTGCTTGATGTTATCAAAGACTTACCTCCTAAAATTCTGGTTCCAAAGCTTTCGTCTCTTTTCACGTTCTTGAACATCCAAAAACTCTGAATGACTTGCATAATTGTCTTCACTAGTTCCCAATGGAGGTCCTACTTCTCCCACTCTCATGCATCTGCTGCAAAATCAATGGGGAGGAAATTTATATGACGTTATTGAAAAAGCCAGTTATTAAATGGAAAACAGCAACATCTTACAAACAGCAATAAGCAGATAAAAACTTACCCAAGGGCTCGCATGGGGTGATACATTGATGACATATAGGAAGGAACAGGAAAAGGAGCAGCTGGAGGTATCCCTGTATTAAAGGGTATCATCCCACAGTTGCCATAGAGACTTCCATAGGGCCTGACATGTGGCATGGGAGGCGCACCCCAAAATGGCATAAAACCTGACATAGACCTTGGGAAAATAGCATTTCCTGCAATCTCCAATGTAGGCAAGCATCAACAAAAAATTTTTCCACAATACATATGAGATTTGCAAGAAAGGGAACAACCGAATACCTGTCTGAGGCATAGGACGTGGACTTAAAGCAGCTGGGCAATCTCTAACAAAATGATCTGGAGAACCACACATGTAGCATCTTCGGGCACCCTGATTTCATAAAAATGGGTTCGGATAAGTTTCAGATGGAGCTAAAAAAATGTCACACATGAATTATCCACTCTGTCTTATTTTCTCCCAGTCATCTCATTTATTGCTAAAACATTGCAAGAAAATACGAAACTTGATAGAACATGTCAACTAAAGAAACATAACAGAAATCATGAACCAAGGTAACACCAATGTGTTCCCACATGATTTACTAAAACAATATGTTATAAGACTTAATTGCAGGAATGAGTTTCACTAAATATGTTACCAACGCATACCTTCTTATGCCTTCCAGGGTCTACAAAGTTCTTATGTCCACCTGAAAAGTTCAAGGTCAATACAATAGATAATAGATTATGTAGATTCTCTCTTTGTATTACAAATATAGATCTTACCTTTATTATCAACCAGGTCTTCCCTCTTTTTCTTCACTGTAGATTCAGCTGTAGTGTCATCAGAAACAAAATGAAAGGTTAAGAGTTCCGAAAAAAATCTGATAAAGATACGCATACCTATATGAGACTTCTAAAGAGGAAGAAAGTTCTGATATACTACAATCATTAAGTGTTAAAAGATGGCACTTAAATGCTGCATATGAAAACAAATGCAAGTGCAAATAACACATTAATTAAAAAAAGTCTAATAACAAAGTAACCAGCAAACTCTATTAGATGATACCTTCCCCACGCATGGGTTGGCTTTCCCCTTGGAAATCATCACAATCCACCAAGTCCCCAGGTCGAATTTTGTCTATTTGCTTCCTCTTGTGTGAGAGAAAATTATTGGCATTCAATGCATTCACTTTAAATGGTGATTTACAAGGCGATTCCACCATCACATGATTAGAACCCCTCCCAGTTTCGGAGGGAGAATGAGGCAGCTCTGGCGCTCTTTGGAAGACAGACATACCACAAGAGATATCTTTTCCTTGAATTCCAGATTCCCCATCTGTTTATGGAAAGTTAATAGTAAATCACCAACTTGTGAGTCCAATTTAGGCAGTTGCAGATATCACAACAGGTATAAGATACGAACCTGGGGCATATTGCTGACAATCATTGCCCAACCCATGGGTTAAAGTCTGAGATTCAAGAAAATGCTCGATTGCTTGTCTAAGAGACACATTTGGTAACAGATCTTCTATTCGGCATTTGGCCGAAAAGCACTTAGGACACCTTGCGTTTTCAAGCAGCACTTGATGGATGCCTGAATCCAAACAGATTAAAATCAGGATGATGACAGTAGAGATGACTTAGCGGGCAATTCCAGTTTCATAATTATTTTCAATACTGGCAGGTGAAGAAAATTTATAATGTGTGCATCAATCTAAATATCCCAAGCTCGTGAAAAACATAAATACACTTACATTTCTGACAAAAACTATGCTGGCAGCAAGGAATCATCACAGCTTCCTTGAAAAATGAGTTGCAGATGGAGCATTTAAGCTCTGGTGGCAAATTGTCATTTTGCAATGTTGTAGCCTTAGCATCTTCCACCCTTGAATTTCCAGACATCTCAAGCATTCAGATTGTTGGGGGGTGGCGAAAGACCAGGAAAACAGTTAAAAGACACAATGAGTAAAACTTATAGCCTACCGTTTCATCTCCTCTTGAACTTTGAGCTCCAATTTCTTGTGAAATAACTCCTCTTCCACTCCATCACAGGCTGGACCTAAAATCAATTTACAGAACAATAAAATTATTTTGCTAGATCATGGATAAAGATTTCCAAACTAATAATAGAAACAATACATACGCCCTGGAATAGAATCACTAATGTCACTTGTCTCAAACTTTTGGCATCCTTCCACTGCAGGCTCTAAACCTCTGAATGCACATAAGCAGATTATAAATAAGAAAATTAAACATTCTTAAAAGATACGCATTAACAAATCAAAAGAACCCAAAAAAAAAATTCATACTTTGCTGCAACGCCAGTGTTCGGGGAAACACCATCGATCAACGTTTTTTTATCCACATCAAGATTCAAACTAGATAGGGTTGCCTCGGGAACAGGATACAAGTCCCCCCCAAAATCATCGAAGTCAATTGTTTCAATGTTCTGTAAAGTAAACAAGCGACACCAACACCAAATATGTTAAGAAGATCGAAAGTAAGCAGCAGGTTCACTTGAAGTTGCAGTGGAAAATGAAAAGGCGCACACTTCTTATATTAAGAGGCATTATGTACATATAAAACAGAATTAATGGTATACTCTAGAAAATTCCAAAGATAGCACAAGAGACCTAACTCCTAAGTTTCCACTTAGCTTGAAAGTGCAAAATAAACCAAAATTCCAAGTTTACCAACATACCAGTGAAACAGATGGATCGCGATTCGCGATTTCCTTCATCCGGAGATTCTCATTTACGTTGGAAAGAGGCCTGGCAATTGTAATGTTATAATATATGAGAAATTACATTATCTTTAACTATCATCATCAAAGCACACACATCATACCAGTCACATTTATACGTAGATAATAGAATTTTATTCTTCCTTCCCTCAAGAATTAATTATAAGTAGATGAAAAATATTATAAGCTCCAAAATTATAAACATTTATAAGTTTTTTTCCCTACATATTCGCTTGCACTGA